TCCCGCTCACTGGCTGAGCAAGGCGCAGGAGCAACACCGAGGTTTGCAATCCCGTTGCCGGTCCCCGGTCCGGTACGGGGGCAACACTGAGGGTTGCGATCCGTTGCCGGACACGGAAAAAAGACAAAAAAAAAAAGAACTACACTTTAACAATTGAGCTAATAACCAGCTAGCCCTAACTTTTGAGCCTCAGTTCTATCATTTGCAAATTGATAATAATAATTGCAAACATTTATGGATTTTGAAGTTAATTTGAACATAAGAATTTGGCATGTGAATGCCTAATAATGTTTCTTTCAGTAATCTGAATCTTTATGTAGCTCATGCTAATCTAAAGTGGACAGATGTTCATGTCCGACCTTTTTTTAAATAGTAGTTATAAATGTAAAAGGCAAATTTGAGTAAAAAGTGATACTCGACCTTGTGTTTTAAAGAATTTACTTTCATCTCTTCATGCCAGTTTAGCACTTGGTATACTCCATTTTTGAAATTTAGCCAGGGCAAAAGAGAGAACAAAAGGCCCCTGGAGGCCCTTGGTTCTTTAAATCTTGGGCATTTTTGATATGGGCTAGTTGTTTAACCTGTGCTATTTTTTATTTTTTTATTTTTTTTTTTAATTCTATGCTTGATGAGAGACTTCTGTGTAATTGATTATTAAATGACACTATTATCACACAGCCTATAAAACAGCATTTGAAAGAGGAAGTGCCATAATTATTAATGAAAAATATCTTTTGAGTTTGAAAAGTGTATTTGCAGTGTTGGATTATATATATGGTGCCTAAAAATCAATTAATTTATTAACCTTATCTGTATAGTATGCAGTGCGATGAGATTTGCTTTTTATTCAAATATTTTGTATCTTGGAATAGCTAATTATAGGACTTGTACCATACCCTAAAAGATTTCTTAAATATAAAAAGAATTTAAGGAATTATGAGTTGAGGGTTTTAAATGCAGGAAGTTATCAGATAGTGTTCTAAAATATGGTTTCTTGGGTTTGAATACCCTCAATGGGATGATATAAATAGTGACTAGTTGCTGAGGCTTGTTTATAGGAACCGTAATCTTGCTGATTTAAGTAATGTGATTTCTAAATCATAATAAGAAAATGCAATCTGACATTTTGGTGGAAGGAAAACCATAGAAGTAGGTGCCAATGGCCGTTTGCAGTGCACCACAACCTTCATTTCTTGTTCCTAGTGCCCCCTTTTCCTGGGGCAGTACTCTCCTATTCCCATGCCTTAACGCATCTTCCTATCTATAAGCAGCCAGCCCAGTCATATGATCGCATCCAGTCACATCCCCCATAAGAGTATGGCAGAGAACATAAAAAATGGGGTCACCAGATTTTGGACACCAGTGAGTACCCCTCTCCTTGCCATATTAGGGAATGCTTCCTATTGGAGTTTCAGGAAATGTGATTTGATGAGAATACTTCAAAGAGAGGTGGAAGTTTAAGTGACAATGATTTTTTTCTTTTACTTGTAAACAATGAGGTTCTTTTAAAGTAAGTTTAAAAAAAAATAGTGTCTGCCATACATGTTTATACTCTACATTCTTGATTCCTTGAGTTAATATATTTGTGTGTATATATGTCCCTCGTCACACCTGAACTGAAAATTAAAGACTGGTTTAAAAGTATCTGAAACACAATGTTTCTGCATTATGTTTGGGGTAACCAGCCTAAGCAGAATCTTGGGAAGGAAAGTAAGGGAAAAGTATATATTTGTGTTCAATGAATTAAGCCAGTTATATGTATTAAGGTATGAATGGAAGGACTGACAGTAATTCTATGATTTGGTAAACATTGCCAGACTGACCAGTTGATGAATAGCTATTATGATAGCTACCACTTATTAAGAGTTTCTTCATCAGGTAATTTTCATAATTTGCTTCCCTTCCAGCAATCTTATATATTAACTCACAATTTTATACATAAGGAATTTGATCCTACAGTTAGATGACTTGCTGTTAAGTGGTAGAACTCAGATTCACACCTGTGTTTGAGATGGTCCACCATACTACACAGCTTATGTGAATTATACATACCTATTTTTTTTTAAACCAGTTGTTAAAGCTTTTATGAGTTCTTAAACTCTTGCCTATTGAAATCATTCTCATTTTCCTTAAAGGCGAAGTGTTCTTCCTAAGGAATGCGTATAAACCCTTATTTGTACTTTTTTTTCTTCATTTAAATTGAACCCTTTTTTACTCTTGCAGAAAAACTTTTTTGAAGTAAATCAGAATAGGCTGTTAAGCTGCAAGAACAAACAACCCTGAAATCTCAGTAACTTTTAAGATTTTTAACTTAAGGTTTGTTTCTCACTCTAAACTTCATGTTTATCATGGGGACCCAGGCTGATGGAGCATCTACTCTGGAATAGTGCTAGTGATGACAGAAGGCAAAAGGGGAATTGGAGTGTCTCACATGGTGATTAAATGTTTGATGAAGAAACCACATGTCACTTGTACTCAACTCAGTGGACGGAACTGGTCACATAGCCACCTAGCAAAGGAAAGGCAATTCTTTCGTGCACTGAAAGGCCAGAAATACACAGCCTTAATTGCTACCACATCAGTGTTCATAAGGGTACATCCACAGCAACACTCCACATAACCTAAATAACAAGTATAAAAGGAATAATGTTTCCAGACAGGCTAAATAGATGTCATGAAGTTCAGGCACTAAACCTTGTGCTTATTAGAGAATCATTTATTTAAGCCTATTTAATCTTATTTTAGATATAATTGTAGCTAGCTTTGGTAATTTGGTTTTCTGCCAGACTTCAAGGTGGTAAATAAGATGCAGCACTCAAGGGACAGGAGCATGTGGGTAGCAGTAGGATATTCTTGTCAGCCGGATACTGAAAATTAAATGAAAAATCATGAAAACTAAACTGATTTCAGAAAGTACAGCCATATGGGACTAGTCAATGCTATGACTAACAGCCTTAGGCATACATATCTCAGTAAACCTAAGGAACAGCAATGTTTCACACAAAGCACAGATTAGATACTTAAAATGACTGCCCATAGTCACCAAAAATGCAAACCATTAAGGTCGGTTTTGTATTTTTTAAGGCAAGACATTTTATAATCTGGTATTTCAAGGGATGTTTTTAGGTATATTAGAAAAATGGTGCTATGAATAAGTTTGGCAAACACCGGGCTAAACTTAGACATTATTTACTGCAATATTACTTAGAACCTATTATAGGCCGATGTGAATTTTCAATCTTTGCAGGAAAATAAAGTATTTAACCATTGTATAAGTCAGCATCCCAGAGGGAAGCTGATGGTACGCTCACAGTGGGTGACTGATAAGCGTTGTATATGGGGAAACAAGGGATGTTGTTCTGTTACCACTTCCCAGCCTAAAGAGTTAAATGAGTGAGAACAGTTACCAAAATGGCAGAGGAGGACTAAATGGAGAGGACTATCTCAAGCTGTGACATTAGTTGCAAGACAGCAAGTGGCAATCCAGCAGGAGGGAGATGACCAAGAAATAAATAACCTCATTTATCCATCCCCTTTGACATCCTGCTGGTCTCCCTTCTCCCCCTCTGCCCTTCCACCCCTTAGCCAAACTCAAGAGGAAGGCAGAATGCAAATGGACCAGCATCCTGTACAGATCAGCCTTCAGCCTTTTGGACACAGAACAGAATAGAGAATAGTAGGA